CTTTTTTCGAAGTTTCTCAAGAACCATTTGAGCCACAGAATTCGTTTTGGCATCGTTGGATAGAGAATTGAAAACTCGATTCAGTCGTAACAACGCGAGTGCGGAAATTCGAGTCGTTTTGAACCAGAACGCAAAATTTGAATATCAGACACTTAGGAGCAAGATTATGCCTAAATTACATGTTTTTCGTCCCGTTTTTGCTCATTTATCAAAATGAGCAAAAACCCTGATTTTTTCATCATTCTAGACAGAAATAAATGGCCTTTTCAGAAAGTGAACCATGGATGGGAAAATGTTAGCAGTTTTCTCAAAAAAGTCTTGATTTTAACAAGTTTTAGATTTGCGTGTTTTTTTTGCCCAATTGTTGGTGAACTTTTTGAAAGGGCCTGACCAATAAGAAGTTGCTCGACCAGTCCTAAACTGGTGCCCAGAAGAGCCAAATCACAGAAATTATTAACGTCTAGACGAACTTGCGACAGGAAATGTAGTTGAACCCTTTTAAATTTTCCTGACCGCTGATCGCAATCTGGACCTTTTAATAATGCGGTTCTAGAATCCAATCGAATCCACCACTGGCTGCGAAAACTGTCTTAGCAACAACAAGACAATTATCAGAGTTTGAGCAATTTCTACTCCTTCACATCGCAATGGCGGTAGGGGTACCGTTTACAAGTCCGGCGCTTGGTCAGAGTACCCGACAGTCGGTCTAAGCAACCGGTCTAATCAACATTACTGCAAACTTTCGTCTTTGGTACTAAGAGAAATCGGTCAGCGATTGGTACTGTTTTGAATTTTCGAAATAAATCAATTCCGATCAAAGCGTCGTGACGATGGAAGAGAAGCACGCTACTGAGTCGATCGCTTCGGTCACCATCAAACCGGACTACACTCCGTCTGAGTACTGTTCTGAAGCACCACCGGTAAGTATCAGTTTTTAGCTCAAATTTCCACCCGGAAAATGTTCTTTGGGGTAAATTAGAAAGTTTCCCTCATTTTTTTTGTGAACAGTGCATGAAAATCGAGGCTTTAATATGTCTTTTTACACAGATATCGAAACGTACGACTTTACATGATGTGTTTTAGTGTGTCATTTAAGTACCGAAATCATTAGCGTTTTTCTGCACTCAAGTTCAAGCCAACATTAGTCGCAATTGACTGTCGTTTCCAATTAGCGAGTTCAGTACACCTACATGTGAAATAATAATTCCAGAAGCTTCTAACTAATCAAATAAACTAAACAGGTTTAATCAGTCAATGGAGAAAAACGTTAATGAAGCAGAACCGTATGTCTTGAGCGCAATTTCGAAGATATCGGGCACAAATTGGGATCACGTAGATTTCTGCGCCCAACTAACCCTTTAAGTTGAACTCGCATGCATTCGCATCAGACGAACGGAAGGAATGAAAATTAAAATTTGTCTTGTTTTTAATGATATAAATGATCCTTCACTGTGCGCGTTTTCATTCGTTCCATTCGTCTTAATTCCGATCTATTTTCCTGAATGCGTGTACTTGTTATAATATTCTTATCTTTCCTGGGTCTCAGTCAAGGTGTGAAGTAAATTTGTTTTTGAACATCGTTTATTTCATTACGTTTCGGCGAGGCCACAGCGCCATCATCATCCTTAAATTTGTCTGAAAAATAGACAAATTTAAGGTTTCAAGAA